CAACAGTTTGGGTCCATACCTTTGGCACATCTGAGGTTGTAACGTTATTTTTTAAACATTAGAAGCTTAAAATGGAAATGGAAAAAATAAACCTTTGCAGATGAAGTGCACCTCATCTGCAGTGAGGAATTTCAGAGGTCTGGGGCTTTCAGTCGTCTCATTCTCTTCCAAGAACACTTCTCCTTCCTGTTTCACCTCTGGCACACTGCCCAAAGTACCCACAAACCACGGAGGCCAAGGCTGAAAATACACAGATGGTAATTTGCGCTACATTTCAATACGACTCGACCACTATTATATATAGCCTTGCTTTCTGAACCCTGATCCTCACTGAGAGTATCGCCTCACCTCAGATTGCAACTAAAAGGTAGGCTGTTAATGTCTTTGTCACAGGCTAGCAGTTGGGAAGGATAACACATACAGCTGCAGTTAGAATGCATTAGAATATAATAAATATCTCACTTTAAATGTACCTGAAATGATAAACGATCAGTGAATGGGATAAGGACAACATAACTATTAACATAATTAACTGCAAGTCGTGTTTAATGTTTCCGGTCAGTTTTTCCAAGTCATTAAAAGTGTAGGACTTTGCATTGACTAACAGTTGTTTGCAGTTATTAAACATTTTTTGTGAGTTTTGAAATTTGAACAATAAACTACACTGGGATGCTCTCTTCTGACCAGTTACCTGAAATTGAAAGATAACTTGTACAGTTGAATAAAATATCAGAAATCTGGTAAACTTGAAGAAGTACCTGTTAAATAGACGATGTTGTCTTTCCCAGCTGGGGCTGTTAAATAAACTCAAACTGCTTCACAGTTGCTGATGGGGTAAACAACATCATCAGCTAATGTCACACCACACTGCAGCATGCTAACACTTAAGAAACCACATCTGTAGGTGCCACAGTGCTAAATATGTTATCAACAAGTTGATCTGGTGTGGCAGTTCGAGGAACTGGGGCTGAGGTCAGAGATGGTAATCTGTTAAAATAAATGATTAGTATTCATCTTGTGTTGGCATTGAGCCATTAATCGTACCAGTAAACAGTTGCGTTGAAACCAGTATACTCATTTTTTAACAACTTATATTGATATTGCTTTGTCTTCTGCCTGGGAATATTTTGGTGGATGGGTTACAGTTTTGCTGAAAGCTAAGGCTTTTTGATGGGGTTGTTGAACAGAGATAAATTCAACGAGCAACACTGACTTGTAAAGGAGTGGTTTTTTAGCTTCCGTAATATTCTTTACTTTTTTTTTTAGAGTTTAAGTGGGCCATTTGTTCAGGGTGACTGTTAAGATCTGCTGTTAACAAGCTAATTCAGTGACTACTGGAATTGGAAATGAGTAACAATGTTGACTTGTTGACACCAGCATGGGTTTGGTTGTGTGACACAGGTCCGAGATGTTGGCTGGCTGTTCTGTCTGTTGGCTGGCTGTTCTGTCTGTTCTTGCCTCTAAGTTTTGGTATCCAACCCTAATTGCTTTAGTTCTAGTATGTTCTAGCCATATTCTGTGTAATCTTGTTTTTTAATGGCTCTGTTTGTCGGCAGTTGAAGTGATGGTAGCGATTCCCTGAGAACTAAACTGCCACTTTCTAAATTCTCTACCCTCTCTCATTGCCGTATTAGCACATGACTTTCCTTTTTGACATCAGCACAGCATTGATGCACCCTCATCCAACCTCATTCGGCTAATGGCTTTTTCTACTTTCCTACCGAGCCAAACCAACCCCTCCCTGAACCATCCGTCTATCTCCTCCTTGTTTCCTTTGACCTCCCATCTCCTCTCTCTCTACCCTGCTCAGGCCGGGGAGCAGCAGGGCCAATTTTCATGCCCAGCTACGTCACAGAGTAGCTTTGTGTGCCCTGTGTGAAAAAAATAGTGAAAAGAGAAAGTGGAATATGTGAGTCAGTGGCTTCATGCAAGTCATGTGGTGTGTGACCTCCTGACCCACCTTTAATCCAGTGACTTGCGCGCTTTCCCTTCTCTGAATCACGTAATTTCCTTTACCAGCATTCAATATTGCTGAGTGTGGCACTGAACTTGAACATGCATACCCCATGTGACCTTTAGACTCTAAACTCATAATAAAAGTTAATTAAAAAGTGGGGATGCATACTATTTTTTTATATTTATTACATGAGTGATAAATTGTCGCATTGTCCTTGTATCCCATGTCGGTTATACACCCAAAAAACAAATATGAAGAGTTTTTATTTTAGACACACCTGAAATATTTTGCCAAACTCAGTTTGACAACACAGTTTGGTTGACAGTGATTTTATCTATGAGGTTAAATGTCACCATGTCACAACTGGAGCTAAAATTAACTGAAATTCTTCCTTGTGCCAAGGTATCTTAAGAGATACACTTGGACCTGAACATCAAGTTGCACAATTAAATAACATAACTGTTACTAGTCTCAGCTAGCACTTAAATTCCTTTGGCTCATTCTTTATATATTATTTAGGGTTACTTTAATCAGTGTAGTCCAAGGTAAAAGTGTACCATGATTTTCCCATGTGTTCGTAGTCAAAGAAAAAGCTGATCCTAACTGCTGAGCACCCTGTAGCAATTTTCTCAATCTGCAAGTCATCCCAGCCATGATGACATGACTAAATAGTTCTCTTACGGTAGCAGATGTTAGCTGTCTTGACTGTAAACTCCATGCTTCCACCGGAGGCAGAAACCTTGAATGTGTGTCATGAAAAATACAATAGGAGAGAAGTCGAACATTTAATTACATCAAGCCCATCTAACTGTGTCTGAGCATAAATATTTTTGCCTCAAGCTTACATTGGACATGCATTGAAATTTAAGAACAGTGTTGTTTCAGTGTACTAGTTTACTCTGTTGATGTTCCATTTTGTTTTGCTGTACCTAACGTACAAAAGTGAACTCTCTGCAAGCTCAAACATGAGACCTTGGGTCAGCAATCTAGAGATTTCCCATCTAATAACATTAGAGTCATTAGTGTTTCTTGCTGCTTTTTCATACATGTCACATGGAAATAGGTCAAGCCCTGCCCTGCATGACTCACGGGTGCTTTCTGTCTCTTGCTTACCTTCATTCCTGTTATCCCTACATTAGGTGGCAAAATGTTTTTGAATAAACTCAGAAACCTGAGCTCACGTTAAGAATATTGTGTAAGTTTACTGCTCTGTTACAAATGTAATGATAATGGCAAGGTTCACGCTCCAGGTGGTTGTCGTTTGGTTCTGTTGTAGTTCTCAGTGATGTGCTTGACAGTTGGCACAAGCCTTAAAGCCAGTATTAGCACAGATACCTCCACATTGTTAAGGGCTGGGTACTGATAACACGATTTTGATACTGGTACCAATATCGATTCCTTCATTTCGATACCGGTTCCTGAACGATACTTTTGTCATTAACATTTTTATAAAAAAATTAAATTACACATTACAGTTTTATTTTTCAGCTACAAGCAGTTTCTTCATAGAAACCCTTTTAACAGAAGGGAAATGGAATCGTATATAGACAGAAGGTGTGGATGATATTTGCACAGAGAGATACCTGGTTTCCAAAAATATATACGAATTGCTGCGTCGCACAGTCAATAAATCAAGACACTGGCGAGGGCTGATAGTTCACAGAGCAGCCGTTGTAGCTGTGTGTGTGTGTGTGTGTATACAGTATGTGTAAGTGTGCATCTGTCTGTGTTAAGGGTGATGGGGCAGCTTGAACTTGAGTGTATAGTTAACTTAATCCCCGATGTTTTTAGACTTTGGGAGAAAACTACAAAACACACTTACACTAAAAATCCTGAAAGTGACCTTTGACCTTTTTGTGACTTACTTGTTGCAAGACATCAATGTTTCCCATTGCTTCACCTTGTGGCCCGTTCTCAGTTTATCGTTTTCTAAGTATATCATTACATTAATATTTGATACCAATTTACAAACTAATTTCTCCCTATTTTTCACCCAATCATTTTATGAATTTTTGCAGGTGAATTTAAATGATGAGTCTTGTTGATATTTGTTGCTGCTGCAGAGTAGCAGTCAGAGTGGGTTGTGATTGTGCTCACCTTTTTGAACCTTTGTGAGCCATGTCAGCCAACTCTAATAATCCCAAGAGGTCAATGCCTAGGTTGCCTGGCAACCATTTTAACTGTGTCGGTAAACTGAGCAGATCCACTTGGCTTTTGTAAGGGCAGTGGAGGTGAAAACGTATGTTGGTGTGTTAAACATTTTAAGTAAATTTATAGCCTCATGCCTCCTCCTTTCCTCAACTGTGCAAGTGCCTCATCTTCTCAGAAATCACTGCCAGTTCTCCTTTTACCAGATGCTGTATGAGGTTGTGTGCAGACATTCTTTACAGTACCCTAAGCAGGAGAACAGAGAAGCAGTCAATTTTGACATTTTGCTTAGCCCAGGCTTGCAGCTTTTGACATATTGTAATAGAGGTTTGTTAATATGTATCAGGAATGTTCACTTTTCTTTGTTCGCCCTTGTCTGGCAAGCTGTAATGTTTTGCTTATGAATATTGATACATGAAGTGTATATTAATGACCCTTTGTGACCTTAACCCTATCCTTATTGGCTTCCCGGTGGTATCTGCAACCTCATGAATATTAATTTAGTTCTGTAACCTCCATTACCCTAATCTTTGCTGTCTAGCCTCCCAGAAGGACCTGTTGTCATGGTAACCACTTTGGTAGACTCTTCTTCACTAAGGGCGGGAAACTATTGTTAAAAAATGACAGAAAAATCTAAATAACTCAAAAACAAATTTATGTACTTAAATGTCTATTGCATACTAAACTTGCATTCTGATTAAGCTCCCCCATTACACAGGTCATCAATTCCTCAGAGTATACAGTAAATATATTAAACACAAAAACTTAGTAATAATTGATGTTTATTAAAAATATTATCTTTAGCAGAGTGTAAGAGTTAGCCAAACTGTTTGCTAGAACACTATGTGAGCTTTGTCAACGTTTACTTTATTCTACGTTCTCTCATCTCTTTTAGATGTTGACAGCAATGAAGAAGGAGGGCCGGATGAAAGACCTGTGGAGGAGGAGACCTGGTTTGGTAACGCTTCTGACACACGATCAGAGTCATCGTCCTATGGAGACACTCAGGATGAAGTCCTCATGGCTATGGGATCTTCACCTGATGAGCGACTGGGAGTTAGTACTGGGTCAGGGGACCATGAGACATGTGGAGGCGAGAACTTGCTGGGATGTTCAACACCTGTTCATCGAGTTTCTTTGGAACTTCTTGGACTGGAGGGAAGTACATTCTCAGCCCAGGACACGCTGTCCTCCGTGGTGTCATCACTGTATGGTGACGCTGCATCACGTGCCCTGGGAAAACCTCTCAGCAGTAACCTACGACGCCTCCTAGAAGCGGGTTCAAGGAAACTCGACGCTGGGGATCTTCTAGGTCGCTCACCTAGTGGAGGCACTGGGGGGGACTCTCCACCAATCGGTCTAGTTCCACCACTGACCCTCTCCCCGTCCTCCCATCATGCCCACCAGTTAAGTGCTCTTGCCCGAAAAGTGGCCAATAACAGTGGCTCAGTCTCACCCGCCTCCTTGGCACCAGCCCCCAATATTAAACAAGAGCCTCTTGACCCCTTTAACTCTGTTCCCTCTAGCAATGGTGGTGGCTTTGTATGGGCAGGTATTTCAGAAAAGTGGCCACGGGCCAGCTGCACCACACCCTGTAGCTCCAGCCTATCTCCAGACTCTGCAATCCAGAAATTAAAAGCAGCAGCAAACGCTGTACTTCAAGACAAGAATGCTGCGGCAACAACTTCTTCCTCCTCTTCTAACTCAACCTCCTCCACAGTATCTGCCCTAGGAGGGGGTACTAGAGGGGACGATGTTGTGCGCTTTGATGCCTTCAACTCTCCATTCAGTCCACAGTCGGCTAGCTCCACCCTTGCTGCACTTTCCAAGAAAGTCAGTGAGCGGAGCCAGGCCTCGTCGACAGCAAGTGCTGCTACAGACCATCAAACCTCAGCAAGTTCCTTTCTCTCACTGGTGTCAATGACCTCGTCTGCTGCCTTGCTCAAAGAAGTTGCGGCTAGGGCAGCAGGAAACATGCTGGCTGAGAAGAAGGATGGTTCCCCATTGGCAGTCGCTACGGTCCTCCAAGAGGACGTGAAGCCTCTGCTAGACAAGAATCAGAAGACGTCCACGCCCTCCACACCCACCCAGAGCCTGGAGTTGCTGTTACCCTCTACTCCAAAGGCCAGGGGCAAACCCAACAGCCAAGCAGGTAATTTGATTAATATTCAGAATGTTATATTCTGATTTTATACAATACCCTGATCAGTACATTGACAGGAATTGTTATGTGCCTGGGTGGTGTTTACAAAAATGATACATTTGTTACACATTTCAAGCACTAACCAACGTTGCCTCAGATTAAACGTAGACCAATGCTATAGAGCAATTTATATACTAATGTGGTATTATCTAATGATAGAAGAGTTTATCTAAGAAAAATTAGCCATTCTTTTTTTAATTTAAAATGTATTTTGCTGTTATACTTTTCTTTGGAGAAAATCACCTACTTATTTGCTCAAGTGCAGAAGCAGAAACCTGCATTAAACCTGTCATTTCACCTGTCACTTTAGTGAAATCTATAGTATTTACATGAACTATAATTAATAATCTTGAAGCTGTGTCTGTTAGCTTATTTACCCACTGCTTTGTTGAATGAGACGGCGATGAGAAAAATCAGCTGTGGTGTGTAAGACACTCATTTTGTTTTTGGTTATCATAAAAGCAGAAACATTTTGTGCCCGAGGAGACGAGAGGGAGCCGACTGCAGCAGCAGCCATTGGGCCCTGTACCCAGCAGTGAGAACAGACACTGTGTGATGTATTGTTTTAGAGACTGTTTATTAAGGTTACAATCATTCACATGGCCAAAGAGATGATGAGAGGGAGAACGAGGAAGAGTCTGATGTGTGAACGGTGTGTGAGTTTTATTCTTGCAGCCCAGAACTTAACCGTGTGGCAGTCATTGTAATGGCTTTTACTCCTGCACGGCACAGCTACTTTTTATTTGATGCATTCAGATCAGTGCAGTTATAAAATTGTTGTATGTAAATTATTTTATTGCCAAAATGAATAGCTTAATATAATAATATAACTGATCACAATATAGCGGCAACAATTTAATATATTGTGACGTACTGCAATACCACGATATATTTTGTAGGAAAACTGTCACAGTATAAAAACAATGCTGTTAGGTGATTAACATTAGGTTACTAAAATTGGAACAGAGGGATCTACATTTGTATTTGCTAGTGAAGAAAAAAAATGAACCGACGCAATGAATATTTGCATTGTAACTATTAATAAAAAATCGATAGTGCTGAAGAATATTGAAGAATATTGGTATCGATATATCAGTGTATCAATATTTTCTTACATCCTCTGTCTTTATAGATGAACAGATGTTTTAGAAAAACTCACTTCTACACTGACTGTTTTAATTTTCTCTGAGTAAGAGTTTGGAAACTCAGCGGAAATATGAAACTTGGAATGAAATTAACGGTGCTGCTAGTTTATCTACACTTTCCTTTAAGAAACAACATGTAGGAAAGGCCTAAAAAACAGTTATTTATAATATATATCAACTATTCCATCGATCATTAAAAGGAGAAGCACAAAATATGATTAATGAGGCTTTTTTTTCACTAAATCTGTTGTCATATATCATCAAAACTACACACTACACATTAGCTGTCCTGGTTTAGACTCATCTTTCTGATGACTTTTTTTTCTGGCCCATAACAGCAGCATGTTTACTTGTCACCAAAACACAAAGAGGGAAAGCAGAATCTTCAATGTTCATGTTTTCTCTAGTTTTGTATTAGTTTTGTTCTCACCTCATTGGTGCTGAGATAGCGAGTAACGCAGCTTCAGCTCAACTGTCAGTAAAGCAGAGAGCATGGCTGAAAGAAAACGGCCCTGGCTGGCCTTGTAGTCTGGGAAATGGTCTGTGGGCTCGACGGGGGGTTCCGATTGAGACCTCACTGCCTTCCCAGACCAGCTCGTTTGCGCTCGGATGTGCGTGCTGCCAAAAGAGGGGGCGTCAGTGTGCACTCGGCACAGTGGGGAGCCCTGGAGTCCATATCCATCTCGGCAGCTTTCTCCTGGCTTCAGCCCCCACTCACCAGAGCCCTATGTACCCCAGACTTAAGGCCAAACACATCATAGTTTCCACTGACTGGATACAGATGTGTGTACGCCACACACTGTCTCTCTTTCCTTCTCCCTCTTGTGCTCCCCCTCCTCTTACTCAGGCATAGCCATGCAGTATATTCTCAAAGTGTGTATACAGATGCAGACACATAACCCAAACAAGGGTGCACACAAAGACCTCACTCTTACACAGAGAGAAAGAAAGCTTCAAAGTGCAGGGTCTAACTAAGTAGCCTTTAGGGAGAGCAGAATGTTTTCAGGGAGATGGATGGGCACTTTTGAGGGATTGTGTCGCAACCCTGCCAAATCTAAAATGGCTGGATCAAATTGACTTCAGACAGATGAGGCAGTTGATGTAATATTCTGTGATGTGCATGCTAAAGAGGGGTCCGCTCTAACCCAGGAGCCGTCAAGGTCGTGCAGTGCTGTAAAAAAAAAAAGCACAAACAAAAAAAAAAGAAAAAACAGGTAGTTGTTTGGACGGCAAATGTGACCTTCATTATTGACTGCCATGTCTTATTTTATTGTTGTCCCTTGCCAATTCCACTATAAAACTGCATTGCATTCTAATGTCTCTCTCCCTGTACACAGGGGAAGCATATTCCCTGTCCCTGGAACATGGCTGTGATTACACAGGAATCAGATATTGTATGTAAAGCTACCAAACAAACCCACTTGTATTCTATTCCAGCGTCACATGCATCAACTTCCAGATAGCTAAAGTCATTTTGCTGAGAGAGGCTGGGCCGCAGATGGCAGTTTATTGTTGCAAATAGGCAGTCTCGAGGTTTTACACCTCAGGTCAATGAATGGCTGAGCAGAGTAATTTCACCAAACACTGATTACCAGATGTTTTTCAAGGAACAGTGCTGGAATACTTATGAAGCCATCCTGACAGGCCCTTGTAGAATTAGTAATGCAATCATGCCTCTTTCTAATAAGACCAATTAAACAGTAATGGATGGCGGATATGAAGCCAACAACAATAATTGAGATACTAAAACATGCTTGAGTTTTACTTCCATTGTTCTATCGCTTCCAGCTGACGCATCCCCTGATGGTTTTCACCATTAATGTGCACTCTTGCAGATCTAAAAAAATAAATAGTAAATAGTTGAATTGTTTTTAATTCCCCTTTTTGTCTCTGTGTACCTTTATATTGTCATTTTCAGCCCAGCCTTTGTCAGTGCGTTAGTCGCCATGGAATAAATATATATATATGTATTTACAAGTGTTAATGTAAACACTTAATTCCATTGGATTTCATGACGGATATAAGTGACTGTGCCTGAAGCAGTGACTGTGCCTACAGTCCAGACCTGCCTCCTGTGGAACATTTCTATGGAGAAGCTTAAATGTTATCTATATTTACTGGGCGAATGTATACTTCTAAAGAAAGTTTAAAAAATTAATTCAATTAAAATCGAATATAACCTATAAGTTAACTTGCCTTTGTTCAACATTGTATCAATTTGACGGTCATTATTTGTTAAACAAATGTTCAAGCGTTCACCAGTCTGGTGACCTGCGTTAACATTCTTTGTAGATGGTTACATCGACCTGCTGTCTCTTCTAGGCTCTCCGGAGGATGGTGGCAAACCTTTTCAGTGTCCGGTGTGTGGACTTGTCATCAAACGCAAGAGCTACTGGAAAAGACACATGGTCATTCACACCGGCTTAAAAAGTCACCAGTGTCCCCTGTGTCCTTTCCGCTGTGCTCGCAAAGACAATCTCAAGTCCCACATGAAGGTGAGGTCATATGGATTGCTTTTTATTAAAGGGTTGACTGATGAACTTTGTCCTAAAATGTCTGTCATTCTTACAAGATCATGTGGCCTCTCCACACATCTTTGTTTTTGCCCAATTTTTCAGGTACATCAGCACCAAGACCGTGGTGAGACATTCCAGTGTGAACTTTGTCCTTTCACCTCGTCCCGTCACTTCAGCCTAAAACTTCACATGCGCTGTCACCAGCACTTTCCCCGCACAGATGTCAAGGTGAAAGAGGAGCTCACCACTGACACGGAGGGCGAAGGCTCCGTGATGGGTGACAGTAGCTCCACAGACCTGAGGGGGCCGGAGGTGTCGCCGCTGCACTCAGACATTCAGCAGCAGATGTCTCCTGCGGTCGAGACTCCCTCCAATCATGTCTACATCAAGGAAGAGCCCCTAGAGAGAGACCTGTCTGTGCTCTCCCCCTTCAGCATTTGTCGGGACCGTCCCAGCAGCAGTGCCAACTCTCTTGACCTGTCTGGAATCGGCGTTGGAGCTGGAGTCAGATCTAGCCCTAGCGGTCCAACCACAGCGTCCCTGTTTAGCCCAGACATCACTACCAAGACGGCTACTGACCTGCTAATGAAGCTATCGGGTAAGAAGAACTTACATATACACATATATTTATATAAATTAATTTATATATTATAAATTTATATAATTATATAATAATATATATATGTACTTTATGAGAAAATGTTTGGAGAAAAAAGAAATCCCATTAAAAACTTAGTCCATGAAGTTGATCTGAAAGTTTAAAATATCCCAAACCGTCAGCCCCTTTTTCTCACCCTTTCCACTAAAACAGGCTCCAATAAAGATTCTTCACAAACATGTTATTATACAGTGCAGCTTTTATAGGATATAGTCATTTACAGCTTTCTCAAAATTTCTATGATAAACCTTCTCTGCTGTTATAGTCTGTCCACAAACACACTGCCCTCGGGGCTGCCAGGTTCAAACCCAGTTTGGATGGGTCTGAAGGCCTGTAGGAAGGTAAGATTGATGGAAAAAGGTTGACCGAGGTTTGGTGCTGAGGTCGAGGCTATGGCTGCCACTCTCTCACTTAATGCTGTGTAATTAGATTGAGATCTTGAGTCTGGATGGTAGGAAAAAACCCTAGGAACATTAGATTAATTAAAAATTGATGCATAATTCATAATTAAAAAGGAATTTATAATTTGAAATGATTAGCGCCCTCAGCGTTGTCTTGTGACCCCAGCAGGCTGCATAGGGAATGGGCTGGCTTAGTTGACTCCCCCTCGATCTCGCACGCCCCAGCACCACATGGATGCCCCCTGGGTGTCAGTCGCACTTCATTCCCAGACTGCCAATTCAAGCCAAGGCAACTCCCAAAGCAGCCAAGATGGCTCCTCACAATGTCTGTTTAGTGTCAACTGGCGGACATCTTAGTTCGGGCATCATTCAAGGACAAAGGAGTGTTTAAAAAGACAGAACAGAGTGGAAGGGCATTTTACAATCGGATGAGTGCAAAGGGAGAAATGTTCCCTTTTTATTTACAAACTTTTCATTTTGTTTTATGAGAAGTCGAATAAGGGCTTTTAAGAAACGGAGACCCTACCCAGATTTTGATGAGACTTCCCTGTGCCACCTATCAGCCAGAAAGTGAGAGGTGAGGACAGTCCTCCTGGGACCTCCACACTCTATCTCTTCCGACCTCCCTGCCAACACAGATTGACTGTATACATGGGCAGCTCATCCCTCCTGCTTTTACACTGAGACGCTTCCATCCCACAGGACCTATGAGCAGAAGCAGAAGGAGGAGGGAGAGGTTTGAAAAGCTGGAATGGAACGGATAAAAAAAAGAGAGAGGGAGATAGAGAGAAAGTGACTCAATGTGAGAAGAGGGAGAAAATGGTAGAGGGAGGGAGTTGCTGTGACTTCCCCCAGGCATAAAAAGCCGCTGAACTCTTCTTGACCTCTGACATAAGCATACCATTTTTTTTTGGTGCTGCCATGCTTTCCACTGAGTGTTTTACTGATACCCTTTGATTTTATCCGTGCGTGCTGACACAACCATCAGCTATCCAGTGTGAGCCACATTTTGATTCAGAGATGAAAGCCATGGAGGCACTTTGAAATGCACTGCCCCTGTGCCCAGTGGACCCTGAGTTAATAATGACAGTGGGCACTCCACACCCCGCAAACAGCACCCCCGCCCCCTGCTGCAGTGACACAGGAACAACAGGCTTGACCCTGACTGGGTGTGAGTAATTGGCATGCAGGGGGTTGTGGGAGGTGTTGCATATGTCACTAAGCCGAGGCAGTTGTCTTATTTATCTTTGCCCTCACAGACTTTGTTGCATGGTAAACTTTTGCACCGTGAAATGAATGTGAAAGACTGGATTTGGAAAAAAGTATCTTTTAAATGTACTAACTGTATAAAATGTCTACAGCAGTGGTGGCCAAAAAATAGATTAGGATCTACCAATAGACCAAGATCAATAACAATAAAATAAATTAATATGATTATATTTATAAGGGATGCACAATATTT